AAAGAAATACGCTTCGCTACGATACGGTTGAAGTGGAAAACCGGCTTAAAGTGCACTGAAAACGTGTTGAAATTAACGAATTTAGTTACAGGGACCTTAACTTCGAAGGTCATTAATATTTATGAAACAAAAAACCCTTCGACTTTGCCTTCCATGTCGTCCATATTAATATATTTTCAAAGCCTAATTCAAAGCGAGGCTAGCGACTCGCAACTCGCAACTCGCAGCTCGCAACTCGCAACTCGCAACTCACAACTCGCAGCTCGCAACTCGCAACTCGCAGCTCGCAAAATAGCCTTCCCCGTTCGGATTATCATTGTGTAGAACTTGTTGTAATCACCTGAACACGTTTTAGCTAAATTGCGAAATCCTGAGCCCAGGATGCCGCAATAGAAAGTCACACTTGCGGCAACCAATAAAAAATTAGGTACGCATTGCGTACATGTGGTTAGCCTATAGGATTGGCAATTGTTATAGCGTCGTATAGCTGATTTCGTTCAATACAATGAACGAAATATCTTGGTTGATTTTTCAACCATTGAACCATAAAATTTCTATTCTTCATTCTTTGTCGTATGAAGCCAAATACCGTATAACATAGCCATAATACAGCAACCTTTTTAAAAACAAACCAGAAAATATTAAATTAACTCTACTATTTCGTTGTAAACGCTAAAATAAAATTTAAAAACCCTTTCTCGCTCAGTCCCATGCCCAAGCATTGTTAGTCGATAAAGGCTGCCAACCTTTAAGGTCCAGACACACCGGGCGCGATTTGACAACGCGACGCGATTTTTTAGTTTTTGAAAGTTAATACAAGAGCCAATGAGAGCAAATCTTAAAAGACATGTAGAACAAATAACGCAAAATGTTATAACGCTTCTAAATACTTGGAAAATTTAAATTAGGATTAAAGTTATCGGTCAGTGAAAATCGAAAAATCGCGTCGCGTTGTCAAATCGCATCCGGTGTGTCTGGACCTTTAGATGTTCATATCTTGAGTTTTTGGTGCATGCTATGAACACAATAATACCACCATTTGATTCAGTGAAAAAATCAAATAGTTCCTTACAATAGCTTTAGTCATTATCAACATTGTAGCGATTTATTGCCTCTGAAAGACAAGCGAGATCGTACCTTTCGCTGAACATATAACTTCGGCCACGCTACAGGGGTAATTGACTCGAATCGGTTGGCGACGAACGGTTTCCGACGTTTCCCGAGTGCTAGGCAGCATTGTTTCGACAATCAGTTTGTATTTCCGGTTGAAGCTCTCACTAAAAATTTAGATATTCTGAAATACCGAAATAAAAGATGCAAATCTGTAGATACAAGCTTGAAAATAACACTATGATTAGTGTTTTGGATTCTGATTCGAACAAGACTATTACGAAAAAGATATGTTGAAAGGGACCAAAGTTCTGTTCGGCGAAAGGTTACGCACTTATGCCTTAGTTGGTAATACATTGACATTGTTTACATTGTTCGGGAAAATTGTGTGAAATATGGTATCGCTTAAAGGTAGGTTACAGTCCCTTCTGCGCATGCGCGGGCTTTGCTTATTTTTTGTTTTGGTCTACATTAATTATATAAGATGTAGTATAGGACGAGTTAAAAACACGTTAATAATTAAACATTCCACATAATTTGCGACCGAGGAGTGGAAATGTTTCACAATACTTGGCTGCATTCTGTACATTTGTACACTGGAAATTCGTGTGCAAAATAACACAATCTTATACTGTAACTTTTTAATGATATAAAGAGGTCGCTTTGGGCCTTCTGTGACTTGATAGATAACAGCTGGAGCGGCAAACCGAAATCCCGAAGGTGTGAGTTCGATTGTGTTTACGAAAATAAATCATCACTCCCTCGAAACATGTTGCCAGAGTTGTTGTTGCCATTATGACAGAAGCACTTGAGGAAAGCTTTTTGCTTGACGAATTCGAATCGAAACAAGTGTGATTGAGAATTTGGCTGCCGTTCCTATCTTCGTGGCAAAGCCAAGCCCAAGGGGGAAATTTTTGACCGTGCAAAAGCTGGATAAACAGCTTTTGTTTGAGCTCGTGCGGGGCATGGATATGATTTCGGATGCTGTTTCAACAACAGAAGAGTTCAAGAGATTGACAGTGACGAGACGCTAAGATTTATATTAAACTTTTTTGTGTTATAGAAAATGTATGTTTTGAAATTATGAACTGGAAATATATTGACACTAAAATAAAATACTTAGGTTGGTGATGTCATATTAATTAACTTCAACAATTCTGGATCTGGTGATGTTGGTTCATCATGTCTCTTCTAGACGGATGACATCATGACAGTTGCTAAATATATGCCTAGTTTCCTCTATATCAGAGCTGTTATATGGTAATACAAATAATTTATAAACAATTATTAACACACATTATATATATATATATATATATATATATATATATATATATATATATATATATATATAATTTCATAAAGTAATTTCCGGTTTTTAAGAATAAAGAGTGCTCAATACAAGACAATTGTAGAGCATATAATAATAATTTAATATTTTAATACAATTTTTCAATTGAAACTTAAAGTAGCAAATTGTATTAAATTATATATATATATATATATATATATATATATATATATATATATATATATATATATATATATATATATATATATATATATATATATTATTATTATTATTATTATTATTATTTAAAAATATTTTAAAACGGTAGCTCTTCAGGGCTCGTAGGCACCTGTTTTTCAAGAGGCCGTTTATTACAGTATTTACAAGCTATATAAATATAATAACACAAATATACACACAAAACAGAGAAAACATAACGAACTTAATAATTGCATGCACTACATTTGTATCTAAAAATATCCTATTTAAATATTTACAAAGTTACCAAAAGGAATCAAGTGCCGTCAAGAATACGTTTAAATTTGTTAAGGCTAATGCCTTTTTCTTTTGCTGTAGTTGATAAGTCATTCCAAAGGGATGCAGCTGAATAACTGAAGCTCTTTTTCATAAAATTTGTTTCAGGTTTTCCAAGATCATAGTTGTTATTGTTACTTCTTAAATCATATCTGTCATTTATTTTAATTTTGAACATGTTGCAAATTGATGATGGCATTTTTTCGTTTCGTATTCTGTGCATAAAAATCGATTTATTGGTTTTATAGCGTTGGTTTAAAGGTTGCCAGTCTAATTCTTTTAAAACATCCTCAGAACTAACTTCATAAGTTTTACCAGTGATAATTCAGGCCGCTCTGTTTTGTAATTTCTGAAGTCTGTTTTTTAAGTAATCACAACAGTTATCCCAAACCAAGCTACAATAATCAAAATGTGATAGCACAATGGCATTATATATTTTTAGTAAGGTTGATTTGGGAACAAACTGTTTTATTCGTCCCATCATTCCTATTCCTTTTGAAGCTTTTGTGACAATATTTTGGATTTGATGATTCCATAAAAGATGTTCATCAATAATTACGCCTAAAGTTTTTGATTTGTGAACCCGTTTAATGACTGATTCACCAAGCTCAATTTTAGGGTCCGTTAGTACTAAGTTTGAAATTCGTTGTCTTGAACCAATAATCATGTATTCAGTTTTATCTTTGTTAAGTGTAAGTTTGTTTGCAAGTAACCATTGGTGTATATTTTCTAAGTCCACGTTAATGCGTTCTTGTAGTTCGTCATTTGTTTTGCCATTGGTTGAAACATTTGTGTCATCGGCAAACATGCTTGCTGAAGATGAGGTCAGGCAGTTTGGCAGGTCGTTTATATATAATAAGAAAAGAAGTGGCCCAAGATTAGAACCTTGGGGTATTCCACATTTAACTGTTCTTGTCTTGGACATTGTTTGATCTACCTTACATATTTGAATCCTGCTAGAAAGATAGGACTGGAACCAAGCAAGCGTATGACCTCTTATTCCATAACAATGCATTTTTTTTAACAATATATTATGATCAACACAGTCAAACGCTTTCTTGAGATCCAAAAAAATCACTCCATTTAACAAACCCTTATCCATATTCATTAGCCATTGGTTCGTGATGTTAAGTAGAGAAGTTTGTGTAGAGTGGTTTTGGGGTCACGAGCTAGGGTTGACAGCCTGTGCGCAGGCTAGCACATGTGTTGTTCGGCGGTGAGTAACAATTCGATGTGAGCGCTTAAGTTTAGTTAATAAATATATAAAATAGTGAGTTTGTGAGTTTTATAAGGAGACGTGACACCTCTGAGTGAGACGTTTTCAACACCATGGAAGTTTTGCGATGTCATTATCGAAAGCACTTAGGCGCATTGAAAGTATAGGTGCATGTTGCCCGGGGCCCGGGCAACATAAATTGCTCATGAATTATTGGTACGTTCAGGGGGAGTTTCAAAAAAATAAGATTATCAATTTTTCAGAAGAAAGTGCCATCTTTTGGAGTTTTCAGAATTAAAGTAGCTGAACGTGTTTCTTTTATACATGTTGAGAAACCAACAAACTAACAAACTAACTAACAAGCTAACAAACTATAACAAGCTAATAAACTAACCAACTAACAGACTAACAAACTAACAAGCTAACAACAAGCTAACAAGCTAATAAACTAACAAGCTAACAAACTAACAAGCTAACAAACTAACAAGCTATAACAAACTAAGAAGCTAATAAACTAACAAACTAACAACCTAACAGACTAACAAGCTAGGGCCGTAGGTTCAATTCCTACCAGAGGACCTTGTGCTGCATTTTTCGCAGTCGTTCCTGGTCAGGTCTTAAAGTTTATATATATATATATACTCACTTGGATTACAAACCCTAAAAACAGCATTCTAATATTAATACCACCAAGAAAAGTGCAAGAATTCTACCAGATCATTGAAGTCCACATTATAACAAGCTAACAAACTAGCTAAAAAGCTAACAAACCAACAATAAAAACAAAATACGTAATTTAGCTAACCTTAACTCTAATTTTCTCCATCGGATAATCATATGAGTGATTTGATCCAAATAAATACTGATTGAGACATGTCTGCTTGCATTGCTTTCCCATTCCTAAAACAAATACATAAAAGTTGTCAACGAGGTATTGCTCATACACAGTGGTCAGTCCGCGTGCATTTCAAATGTACGACCAAGTCCGATATCTGCAATATACATCTTCCCTATACTGCAAGGCGGTTCATCTGCATTGGTTCCTGAACTGTCGGTAACCTGCAGTACGGACCGCTCACAGATCTTAAAGAAGCTGGATCGCAAAGAAAAACAAAAATAACTCTTTGTCCAGTAAAAAAGACTATAAATATGTGAAGGGTCTTGTAGATGAAAATTATCGAGTGGAAATTTATATACATTTATTAGAGCGTTGCACCGGAATCGCAGGGGCACAGGTTCGATTCCTGCTAGGGACCTGTATAATTGCTTTTTCGGACCGTTCAGTAGAACTTGACTGAATATTTTATAGTCCGGACTTCCACGGCTCCAGTCAATGACATAGATTTATTTCCCCTACCTGTGAATATTTAAGTAGAATTTCTAAGCCGTTGAGAATTTTCATTACAGAACTTGTCACTGGGAAAGAGATAATCCGATCGATGGTTTGACACAACTGAAAATACAGAATAGAATTAGAGATAAGAATCAATTCAAAATGTTTTAACCGTACCCCTTTTTATACTTGTGCTAGTGAAAAATTGCAATAGTTCATAATAGGAATCAAAATCTAATCTATTTTTATACATGCAGTGCTAAATGTTTGTTTGTTTGTTTGTTTGTTTGTTTGTTTGTTTGTTTGTTTGTTTGTTTGTTTGTTTGTTTGTTTGTTTGTTTGTTTGTTTGTTTGTTTGTTTGTTTGTTGTTACCTGAACAAGTGTTGGATGTTCTGGCCATTTCTCCAGCAATTCCTGTAGTCTGGATTTGAAACTTGTAAGAATTGGTAAGACTTGAATTATTTCTTTCAAGTTACTGTCGTGGTATATATCGTATTCTTCACTTCTAAAAATTATCAAGTATTGATTTTTACAAAGATGGCGTTACTTATTACTTAAATTTTGATTAAATCCATCTGATTTGTTATTTTTGTCACGTGATCGCATTTATATTCGCTAGGCATGTAATTTTGCCGATCCTAAAAAATCAGCCTTTTGCATGCACACAATAGGAAGGTATATGCAAGACGTCTGGCTTAATTAATGCCTTTGCCTAATTTGCTTATGTCAGCAACATGCAAATTAGGAAAAGGCATTAATTAAGCATGGGGAAGGCTGATATTTTAGGGGGAAATGAATAGTTAAAGAAGTTAAACTAAAGCAAATCCATGTGCCTTTCACATCGTTTCCCGAAATCTCAGATGTCTGATGGTAATTTTACATCAGTTTGACTTCATTAAACACTATTGACTTCAGCAAACACATGCATTAGGTTGTCTTCGGGTACTATGGTATGTTTCCTCCTGCAGAAATACCGGACCGCTAAATTCGGAATAGATCAAGGAATGTAGTTACACCCTTTGTACTTTGTAGTTTGCCAAGTAATTTGTACTTAATTTATGCATGCCTTAATTTTGACGTCTCTCTTCTATATTACTAAAAAAAAATTCGGACATACCTCCTGCCAAATAACAAACTTGCTGAACATACATCTGTCTGGTCCTAAAAAATAAGTTTAATTTTATTGGCAGTGTGACCAGATTTGGTAAAATACTTTACTTTTGGTAAAATTTCGTCAATTTTGGAAAACTTTTAATAATGAAATTATTGGTTTTCAGGCTAAACTAGTCAATCTAGTTGGCTTGTAAGAAGCCATAATAACACTATTGTTTATTCACGAAAAAATTTACCTGCATTAAGCTAATATTATTCAAACTTTTAATATGTTGATCAACTTTGTCCCCAGTCTTCACAGTGGAACCACGGATTTTATTAAACTGGGGTAGGGGCGAAATTAATTTCCTAATTTGGTTCATTTTCTTGATTTAGTAAATTTTGAACACAAAGTTTAGTAATAGGCGCTGGAAAATCCTGGTCACACTGTTTACTACTGGTGAGATTGTAATGAAAGACGTGATATAACTGTTTACAGCATTTCTGCATGTAAATTTCAAAAACTACATTGACATGCATTGAAGTAATATTTTTCCTATCCTTGGTAAATTCCTTGGTAATATACATGGCGCAATACCTTGAGAGCAGATTCACTCTGACATGATGATAAGAACTTGGATAAAAATGAGCTCATGACAAGATGACTTGGCGTTGTGTCCACATCCAGTAAATCACCATCTGAAAAGCAATGATGGTAATTGTTGCATGGAAGCGCCGGTCAAATGAGGATGAGGGTTTAAGAGAGTTGAAGGGCAGGGACCGCCAGTGCCACGGGGCAGCTTTGGAGAAGCAGGTTGCCTTTTTTACAAGAATTGCAGTTCGAATGCCGTGCGTTATTGAAATTTTGCTCAAATTTAAATCCAAAATTCCTCTCACGAAAGAAAGCCTTCCTAAACAATTGACAAACTGTCATGTTGTTTTATATACAATTTAGTATCCAGCATTATGCAACGAATAAAATTGTTCCAATTAATGCCGAAATTTGGCCAACTATACAAGAGTTGTCCAAGTTGACGAGAGTTCCAACTCTCGCTAGCGCTTCACTGCCAACCAGAGGTGTAAAAGAGGGGAGCTCAGGGAGCTCAATAAATACTGCATGGAACTTTCCATGTTTATCATGTTGCACCCATCGCTAGAAATCGCGGACATTCGGAATACAGCAGGCATTCTCGCCCCAGGCCCCATGTTCACTCTTATTTTCAAATTTTATCAGGAATGTAGATGGTTATCCACTTTTAACATAAAATATCTTTTAAGAATCATACTAAATTAAAATTGTGCATTGTGGAAACAAAATTCCGTGAACTAATCAAGGAAATAAGAAAGAAAATTAAAACCAATAATAAAATATAATGATTATTTACGATACTTAAAATTGGGAAACAACGCAATTAAATGTGCGGCAGGATTTCTAACTAATTTATCAAAACGACAATAATCCACATTTTACAAAGTCAAATTACGGCTTAATGATCGATCAACTTAAAAATGTGCAGTAATATTTAAATAATATGCAGATATTAGTATCCGAAACAATTGTTCGTATATCTTAATCTGTGGTGTCAATGTGTATTTGCTTCATTCCAAGTTTGCATAAAATCGAAGGCTCGTTTATTAGACACGATCATCAGGTTCTAATGTCGCGGTTTGGCGATGATTTTTTAGGCAAAAATGACCCAAAATATATCATTCGAAAGCTCTTTTCTTCTGTTTTTTGTTTGTTTACATTTTGTAATCCTTTTAGTATGATTACATTTTGTAATAATCCTTTTTGTAATCCTTTTAATAATGCTTTTAGTTATATTTAGAATAATAAATTTCAGGGATCGAAAGGGGTAATAAGGGACATAGACGTAAGGGATCTTTCGGGATTCAAATGTCCAAGATTTCTAGCGATGCTTCACGCCTGGTCACCCTCAGGTCTTGTCACGCCCCTTTGTGATCATTTCAGTTCCACACCACTGCTGCCAACTCTGATTAACTTTCGTGATGAACTCTCATGCGTTCTCATCTTATCAACTTTGACCTGGCTCAATTTTTGATGACAGTTGATAAAAGTTTTTGCTCATTTGACCGGTAATATTCGGTCAACAGTCATCAACTCTCACATCAACTCTCATTTGACGGGGCGATGAGTGTTGAGAAAACTCTTAGTCATGTAAACTCCCCCATCTCAACTCTCGTCTTCATTTGAGCAGAGCTTAAATTAAAACCACCTCGTCGAATATCCACTTACCACATAGGTCAGCAAGGTTTATGACTTCCGAAGCAATACTATAAGATTCTAAAGCAATTTTGACATCTTCCAATCTTTTATCTACTTGTTTCCACTCTGCGTTATCCCATGTTGCAAGAACTTGAGATACATTTGGCACTGAAGAAACCAAAAACTGATAAATCTTGCAAAATTGTGCCATGTCAGATTCTAAAATGGTATCGAAATTGGCTTGGCTTTGATTAGATTGTTGTTTCTTCTCCGACCTCGAGGCTCGCTGTGTTTTGTCCATGTGAAGGTCTTTGTACTCTTGGTCAAATTTTGTAAATAATTCATCTATTTCTTTCTCGGTTTTTTGTTCTTCGGATTCTTCATCACTGCAGTAAGTTTTCGTTTTGAATTTGTATAAACTCTCGCCTTCCTCCTCTTGTAGGTTTCTCTCTTCCTCTCGTTGTAACCACAACGTTTTATAACAGTTTATAACAATCTTGAGGTGCTTCATGTCATCTGAATTCGTGTAACCTGTACGACATACACTTCGTTTTAATACGTTCAATGCAAGCATACGGATTCTACATGAAAAAAACAAACAAGAAACAGCGATTTTTATGGAAATATATCAATTTAATATATCATTGGTACTGATGAAGATCTGGGCTTTCGATCAAAGAAATTTGCGATAAAAATGAATCCAAACAAATATTATGTTGTCGCCATGCAAACATACAATGAACAAGCAATGGATTAGCAAAAAAACAACTCGGCAAAATAATGTTTTGAATAAAATGATCCTGTAATGCTGTCGACTCTACGTCAACTGCTTCAGTTCGACATTTCAGCAACGTATGATTTGCTATTGAAATGATTTTTGCTTGAGAAATTATGAAAGAATTATAGCACACATTATCCTTAAAAGTCACATGTTGAATTGTCGAATGGTTAGGTTGTAAAAGCAATTAAACCAGGCTTTCCATCAATTCATTCATTCATTCATTCATTTATTTATAAAGCTATAGTAGCGAGCGAAAACATATCTATCATAACTTATTTTCCCAAAGTCGAAGGAACAAGAATGCCGTTAATGGCACAATTAACAGGTCCCTATGACAGTTTGTCACCATGCTCGATGTGTATTCAAATACTGTTACAGATTTCAAATCATTTTACCTGAATTTCAATTTTTCACTTGCTTCTTTACAATCAATCAGTATTGATGGGCAGCTTTGACAGAGAACTATATGAGAAAGAACTATAGTTGGCAAGTTTCAAGCAGTTTATGTGTTCGATGTATTTGTACAACATATATTAGCTGCTATAATTACAAGCGCCTGGAATGATCATTCTCATTCTAAACTATTCTAAAGATTTTGCTAGTATACCAATAAATACCAGGCCTAGCTGGCAGGCATTTTGTTCGCCGTCAGATGAGGTTAGGTTGGACTTGGGTTTTTTTACAGCACTACACCGAGCTGAACAAAAATACTGTCACACAAACCTTCTATGCCACGAGATAGTCCTTCCTTTAGTAGGTCACCAATTCTCGTTGACATTAATGAGTTTTCAGAGCAAGAAAAGGGCAGAAGACACGAAACTATTTGTCGACGAAGGCATGTCTAGAAAAACGAATATCAATTTAGACCAAATTTGGCAATTTTACTAGTTAAGGATGTTCTTTTAAGCTATAATGAATAGATTTCGTTCTTCTTGTCTAGATCAAAACATAGTCTTTAGCTGGAATCATCATTATAACTGCAATATCTTTGCAGGTAACTCGAGTCATCTGTTTACCTCAGCATCTCTCTGTCTCCCTTCAATCCCCTCCAACGAGCTATTCTTAACCGATTTTCTCATCTTCAATTCTTGGACTATCTGGAGAAATAAACAACAACCTCTTACCAACTATATCATTAGTAATACCTATCATTAGTAGTGTCTTTAAAATCAGTTAGTTGGCTAGTCAAGTTTGTAAGTTTTTAACTTAGCAAGTTAGCTAATTGGTCACTTAGTTAACTTCTTTGCTCGTTAGCTAATTGGTTATTTAAATAGACTTTTTAGTTAGTCAGCTAATTAATTAATGAGTTAGTGAGCCAGGTGGCAACCTGTAGCGAGTCCTTTGTTTGTTTGTTTGTTAGCTGGGATATTTGTTATTTCATTAGTCAGACAGTTGCGTTCCTCTTTTGAGTTTCTAAATCGATTGCAATTTTTCTCATTACTTTTGCAATTTTTAAATTCCTTCAAATTCCTATTCCTATTCCTAATTCCTTCAAATTCCTATTTTCTTTAGGAACATTTCAAATTCCTTCCTTGACTTGGAAGGAAGTTTTTTAAAAAAAACTTCCTTCCAAGTCAAGGAAGGAATTTGAAATGTTCCTAAAGCTAGAGTAATACGAGCAACAAAATTGCTGCAGCTTGCAACAAAATCTGATTTCTACGCATGTTAATTGAAAATGTTTACACATAAATTACAAATCACGAGGCAACGTGTGTCCACATTTTTACTTAACATGCGTTGAAATCAGATTTTGTTGCAAGTTGCAGCAATTTTGTTGCCCGTATTACTCCACCTTAAAAGCCGATTACATTTTCCTCAGTTCCTGTTAGAAGTTCTTGACTTCCTGTTACAAGTTCCTAAATTCATGTTCTGTTCTGTTCTGTTCTGTTCTGTTCTGTTCTGTTCTGTTCTGTTCTGTTCTGTTCTGTTCTGTTCGGTTCTGTTCTGCGCGTTGCAATTGGCTAAAAAACAATCCACCAATGACAACGCTCAGAACAGAACAGGAAGCCAGGAAATTAAAACAAGAAGTTAGGAAAATTTAAAATGAAGTTTTTTTGCATTGGAATATTGCAACAGCTGACAGGAACATTGCAAATTCCCTCAAGGGATTTGCAAAGAGTTTTTTTTCAAATATAGCGTGGCTACATGTAGCTAACCTGTAAGTTAGCTAGACAGTTCGTTAGCTCATCACCTGCTAATACACCCTTTCGATAATTACGTCACAACTACACTGTTTTATACTTAGGACCACCTTAAATGGAAAGGATTTCAAGTTTTTTTCTCATGGGCCATGCACAGAGAAGCAGAAAATCCTTCTTCAACACATGAAAAATAATTCTTTATTTTGACCAATAAATGTGGAAATAAGCTTTAACACGAAAACGAGGCTCCAGGTCATGACCTGAATCCTTGTTTTCCTGTTAAATCAAATCCAAAATTTTTTTCGCGTATGTGTTGAAGAAGGATGTTCTGCTGTGCATAGCCCATGAGAAAAAAACTTGAAATCCTTTCCATCTAAAACGGTCCTAAGTTTAAAGCGGTGTAGTTGCGTCGTATAATTATCAAAACTCGAAAGGGTGTATTTGCAAACACTGGTTCATCAGTGAGTAAACCAATTAAGAGTTCAGTGATATAGTACGTTAATTAATGCTTTACTTAGTAAAATAGTAATTTAGTTAATTACTTTATCACCTAAAGACTAACCACCCACCTGGATTAAGCCAGAAATATAAGGTGCTAATAAGTCCTGATAAGCTACAAAATCCTGGAGTTGCAATATAAGTTTCCTGATGCTCTTGATTTTAGATTCAACATTCCTTTCGTCCAGCAGGACGTCGGGTAGTCCCACTGTAGCGTAAAAATGCCCAAGAATGCCAATTATCTTTCGGAACTGAGGGAATAAATAACGATGCATAGATTTTTATTATTTAGTTGAAATATTCATGGTTTCTGAATAACTAACAGCCAACTTTGAAATCGTCATATCAACTCGACCATACTCGTATTAAAATTCGAATACCTTTTACTCGTATTAAAATTCACGTAGTACTAGAATTCGCGCAGCGCTGCGCCAAATGTAATCCGCGCGAAAAGCTTTGTGGTGTAATATGAGACACTTAGTTGATTTAAATTAACTGATTTGCATTATTATTATTTGTATTGTGTTATTGTATTAGGAAAATGTTTAGTACTTGTTGGTATTTTAAACTCACGCATTGCTATCATGAATTTTGCTTATACACAACGTAATTTTGAAACCATTTTTGAGGTCACCTTATCGCTTTTTTATTAAGTTCTGACAAATATTGAAGTATTTTTTTCTAAAAAATACTCATTAAAAATACTTGTTCTATTGAACAAACCAAAAAGAACGAACACGGAAAATCACTTGCGCGAATTTAAAGCTGCGCGAATGAGTCTCTACAAGTTGTGCCAAATTAAATCACGCGAATTTAACGCTGAGCGAAAATGAGAACGATGCGAATTTTAACATACGTATGTAAGGTATGGAGTATTCAACAGAGTGACTTCATAAAGTGACGTAGAAAGTCGAATATGATCAGACATTTAAAGGAATACTTACTTGAGAAGGAGCAGGCCTGTACGCAATATTATCCCCAACTTTTGAGAGCTTATCCTTTAACGATGTTCGATATTTAACCAAATTCTCCACGTGACTTTGATTAATTTGCAGTGTGGCTGACACACTGTCTGATACACTGTCTACATCGATTGATTCATTGACTTGGCTTCTTTTTTTATCGATACCTGTCAACAGTTCCTCATTTTGCAACCGAACTTTCAATTCGCAGTTCAAATCTTTTATCTAAAGAGAAAAACGTTCAACAAAAATGGGTAATAACTAGTCTTGGCCGAATGTTCGTAGAACGACCAAACAAATTCGCAACTTTTTAATATACTTGGGTTTTAAAATCATATTGCACCTGCCCCGGCTCCCCCTTTCAATGTTGGTTTTCCTCAATTGAAGAGCCACAAAAGTAGACGAAACGGCAACATTGGATCGGGGGAAGGGGGAAGGCCTTAAAAATGCACAAAAATGCATCATCGTCCTAAGGTTTATGGCCAAGATTGTAGTCGTGGATGAAGTAAACGTCATCCCTCGTAACATTATTTACATTAGAATTGAATAGCTATAATTTTTAAATGTGGTCCTTATGTAGGTCTAGTTGAAGACTAGCTACTAGGTGAACCTATCTTCACACTGAAAATCCTTTGTGCTTTTTGTGCTTGGAAGTTGAGTTTTGTGTTCTAACTATCAAAGGACATCTAGGCTAAGCTATGCAGCTTAATCAAAACTAATCTTTGGTACATTAGCACGTCTTCAATTAATCATCAGGGGCCAGTTGTTCAAAGCTGGGTTAGTTTAACCATAGGTTAATTTAAAGCAAACTCCCAACAACTTGTTTATAAATTTGGAAATATTTCTTCAGAGATCGTGTCTGAATCAGTAGGAAGTTGTGAAATAAACAGACGTGCAAAAATACATAAACTAAATCAGCTGGTTAAATTTTAACCAAGGGTTAGCGCTAACTCACCTTTCAACAACCGACCCCTGCCTTTTATTGTTTGCCTGCTAAGTATTTGGCCAATTACTTAGCAATTTAAGCTAGTTTAACATTCAAAACTCACCTCACTTTTGATACTATCAACCTTGACATTTGTTTCTTCAACTGGGTCTACATTCCCAACAGGCCGTAGTAATTTTGACTGGATCATACCCAAGTATACCCAGCACCGTCCAAGTTTATCCCAGCAATCTGTTGTTGTAAAATAGTCACCCTTTAATATCCTTGTGTTTGTTATCCATCGTTAATTTGTTATCCATCGTTTGTTATCCATCGTTTATCCATCGTTTGTTATCCATCGTTTGTTATCGTTTGTTTGTTTGTTATCGTTTGTTTGTTTGTTTGTTTGTTTGTTTGTTTGTTTGTTTGTTTGTTTGTTTGTTTGTTTGTTTGTTTGTTTGTTTGTTTGTTTGTTTGTTTGTTTGTTTGTTTGTTTGTTTGTTTGTTTCCGTTTTACTGTAAGATAAGATTTCCGTTTTACTGTCAGATAAGATTAACAAAAATTTTGGTTCCAACCAACTTGATGCATTAGCATTTGAAACTTATAGATAAATACTCGAGTGTAATAGTGTTTGTGAAATTCATGAATAATTAATGAGGTTTGCATCCAATCAAATTTCAAATATAACATCATATGTATACCTTGTAAACCCCATACAAATGAAATCATGAAAATGCTAATCAGTTACAAACACTATAGTGGTTGTAACTCTTCTGATACAACCATGAGTGTTTGTAACTAGTTTGCATATGAATAGAATTTCACAACTCGCGTCCGTGTTGTATTGAATATACAATCACGAGCGCGCAGCGCTCGTGATTGTATATTCAATACAACACGGCCGCTCGTATTGTAAACATTACTTACAGATCAAGCCTTCATTGTAAGCCTTAAATTATCTAAATTTTGGGCATCTCCCTCTCTAGAACAGAAGGGGTTTTCGTAAGAATAATGCAAATTTCGAGCGAACGCTGTACATATTTGTGACGTGCTGAGAGCAGCGGTAAGAATGCACCATAGACCCAAAGGCAAGAACCAGTCTATCAACCATATAATTCAGTGTAGCACTATTAACACTTCACGCTCTAGGATAGGATTACGCTCTAGAGACCTCCGCTTTATTTCAAGCATAGATAAGTATTTTTTGAAGCTTTTGAACCACATATTCTATTAAATTAAAGCTAAAGATCTTGTGGATCTATTTCTCGTATTCCGGAATTGGATTTATATTGTGGTGTAAAGTTATTTTGGATCGTCTTATCGTATTGTGTACATTGTTGTTGTGTCACATGCTGCGAAGCTGAACTTTTGGATATTGCTCGTTATCTTTGGCTTTATTTGTCGTATTCGTGTGTAACTTGCTACGTATTCTACCAACGGTGTTATAACTTTCGCGTGTTAATTTGGTCTCATTTGGTTACCTTGTTCGTGTTTTATTAAACTATTATTATTTTGACCGTTGGTGCTTTCAATTTGAATTTGCCACGTCGCGTTCCTAGGCGACAACTTTACGGCAGCGTATCTTGGTTCTACGTACTCCAAAACATTTTTATACTTTGGATTTATATTGTTTTTATCATTCGCTACATTTGGTATAGTTTTGTCAACTTTGCCATTTGGAATAACATTTGACTACATATATAGGCCCTATATCATATTCCACCATTGGATTATAGCGTGTCAGGGATTTCCCCTTAAACTTAATTGTCTCTTAATGGCGTCAAAATACGTCTGTTATGTTGCGTCGAATGTGTGCTTGGTGTTATGTTTCTTTGTGATCCTTAGTAGTTCTGAACGTCCCAGCCCTTGGAACAAGACTGCCTTTAAAGATAACGCTATTTACTTCATCTCACAATCTGCATCAAAACCTGAAATTCAAGCATTTTCCGTTCGAAAGGTGACCCATGAACTGAAGGGTGCAAAACTATCTCAAACCATCCTCTTGACATGTAAACTTTTCCAACGTGCCTCACTGGCTATGATACTAATTGCCCTCTCTGGGGATATAGAACTTAACCCCGGCTTCAAATTTTTAAATGACATCAAGAAAAATAGGGGCCTAAAGATTGCTCACTTAAATGTTCGCAGCTTACGAAACAAGATCGACCAAATCCGCCTTGAAGTGTTAAGCGTGAACTCATTGGATGTTCTTACCTTATCAGAAACCTGGCTAGACTCAACAATCTTAAACTCTGAGATACATCTACCCGGATTTTCGTGCGCAAGACGCGATAGACATGGTCTTAAGTCTGGCGGCGGAACTGTTATCTACCTAAGGGATGGCCTGCAATTTCGTGTTCGGGGCGATCTTAATACTGCAGATAATGAATGCACATGGGTCGAAATCATTCGTAAGAATTGCAAGCCTCTCCTGATATGCTGCATTTATAGACCTCCAGACCAAGACTGTGCACGATTTATCTCGGAACATCAAGATTGCTTGTCTAAGATAGATCTGGATAAATGTGAATTGATTTTATTAGGTGATTTCAACGTAGATCAATATAATGGCTGCAAACAGAATAAGCAAAAACTTATGAACTTTGCACGTTCCGTGGATATGTCTCAAATTATAACAGAGCCAACTAGAATAACTAGCACCACTCGGTCATTGATTGATTTGGTTTTCGTCAATAATCAACATCGTATTGTCGACTCCGGTGTAGTTTCGTTATCCTTGAGTGATCATTCTTTAGTTTACTGTGTAGTAAAATCAGGTGTGAAAAAGGCTCCCCCTAGAACAATTGAATACCGCTCGTACAAGTCCTTTAATGCAAATACTTTCATTCAAGACATGAATAATGTACCTTGGCACGTTGTCGAAAATAAACGCGACATTGACAGTGCAGTACTCATGTGGAATAAATTGTTCTGTGACATCGCCGATGCCCATGCACCTGTCAAACGTCGTCGTGTAAAAGGCACACAAGTACCCTGGATGAACAGTAAGATTAGCGAAGCTACGCAAGATCGCGACTACCATCATCGCAAAGCCGTAAAGTCAAACAAAACCTATCATTGGAATATGTACAAAAAATTGAGAAACTTTGTTAATAAAGAAGTTAAATCGGCCAAGTCCAAATACTACTGCGAGCTAATTGAACAAAGTAAAGGTGACTCCAGCAGGATTTGGAAGGCGGTTAACGAAGTTTCGTCACGCGATAACAAGAGCTCCACCCCGCAGTACATTGTCACTGATGGAGTAAAACACTCAGACCCCAAATCTATTGCCATTGCCCTTAACACTTATTTCGCCTCAGTCGGAAAATCCTTAGCTGCAAAGTTTACAACTGTCTCACAAACATTTACAGCAAGTCCCACTCCTGTCCCGGAAACAATGTTTGAGCTCGAAGAAGTACAAGAATCCTATGTTCTTGCACAACTCCAGACTTTGAAGACCAACAAAGCTATCGGTTTGGACAAAATAAGCGCAAGACTGTTAAAATGTGCGTCTTGTTCAATCAGCAAGTCTGTAACAAGATTACTTAATCTTTCCATCAAGAGCAACCATTTCCCAAAGATTTGGAAATGTGCTAAGGTCACGGCCTTATTTAAATCAGGTGAACGTTCCAATCCTACAAACTATCGTCCTATCTCGGTCTTGCCTACTCTAAGTAAGATCTTAGAGAGAACCGTTCACTCGCAATTTTATAGCCACTTAATTACTAACAACTTGCTCACAAGCAAGCAGTTTGGATTTCAACAAAGGTACTCAACCATCACTGCCCTGACCAACTTTGCGGATGAAACTCTGAGTAACATGGAATGTGGAAGGCTTTGTGGAGCTGTATTTCTAGATTTGTCGAAGGCATTCGATACAGTGGACCACAGCATCTTACTCCACAAACTTAAAGCGATGGGTGTGTCATCTAGCACCGTAGGTTGGTTTGAGTCCTACCTGAGAAACCGGATGCAACAAACGTCTTGTGGAAGTGAATTGTCAGACGCTCTTCCTGTCACTTTTGGAGTACCCCAGGGGAGCATTTTGGGCCCAGTTCTCTTTCTCGTGTACATAAACGATCTGCCCAGTATTAACAATAAATGCAATGTTTCCTTGTATGCCGACGACACAGTCTTGTATTGCTACGCCTCAGATGTCAATGATCTTGAAAAAAATCTTAATGAAGATTTACTCAAGTTAGCGATTTGGTTAAATGAGAATAAGCTGACACTGAATTTAAATAAAACTCGATCAATGATTATAGGCAGCGATAGGAAGTTATGTAACATATCTTCGATATCTGTCTCTGTCAACAATACTGAAGTCTCCAACGCCAGCAATTTCAAGTACTTAGGAGTCACCATCACAGCCAACTTCACCTGGTCAGAACATATAGATCGCATTTCCGCTAAAGTCAATCAACGTCTAGGTCTACTTCGTAGGATTAAACACCTGCTACCATTTATGCACGAATCCTTTTTTATAACAGTCTCGTACTCCCAATCTTTGACTATGCGGATGTTATATGGGGAGACAAAAATAATACAGTGTTAATTAACAATCTTCAGATACTCCAGAACAAAGCCGCCAAGATTGTTTTAGATAGACCATATTTTTCATCGGCAACAGACGCGTTAAACACTTTAGGCTGGACCACTCTTGAACAACGCAGATTGTATCATAGATGTTTATTTGTTTTTAAGTGTCTAAATAATCATACTTCACACGGATTTGAACTTCTAGCGAACAGAGAAATACACAACTACAATACGCGATATAAGGACAATTTAAGGCCACCTAAAGTGTCAAGGAATTGGGGAAAGCAAAAACTCGCTTATCAGGCCATAACAGACTGGAACAACTTGGACAGAAAGACAAGACTATCTAGTTGTATTTCTACATTTAAGAGAAACTTTTTTAGCAATCTTTGAACTTTAATTCCCTCGTATAATTTTTTAATATTTTTCATAGTTATGTAGTATATGCATGTCTTCCTTGTATAATAGTTTATTTAGTTCAGGACCTTCCTGAAAATCGCTTTGTGAGAAAGCTTCCTGAAATTAAACATTAATTAAAAAAAAAAAAAAAAAAGAGCCTGCTAGTGCCACATAATCATACCAGTGTATGGCATAAGAGTATTTCGCTCAACAGAACAGAATATAAAAGTGTGACTAACCCCAAATATGATTTTTTGTATGTATAATATTTGGGTCATTCGAAGAAGAAATATAATATATCTTTACAATAAAAAATCCCATCTTGATCAACTTTTTCAGTGTCAAAGTTTCCGGATATGATGTCATTAGATGAATTACAAATTAATTTTCCTTTGTTTTTTTGTACCAAAAATTCACCTAATGATATCATATCTAGAAACTTTGACAGGGAAAAAGTTGACAAGATGAGGTTTTTTACTATAAAAATACATTACATTTCTTCTTAGAATGACCCAAATATTACAAATACCAAAAATTATATTTGGCGTTAGTCAAACTTTAAGGGTTTCTTGTACATGAATATTTCAAGCCGGAACAATACTTAGTATGCACCTCACCTGTTAGTACATCTGTATTAACGATTAATCCCAGATGTTTGCGTATTTGAACAAACAAGTCTTCTAAACTCTCGTCTAGGCGGCCATAACGTCCTTTGATATTATCAATATGCTTTTCCAAAGTTTCTTTTTCAAACTTTGAGAAGCTAAGGAAGTCACTATACATTGAATGACAATCTTGGATTTCAGTGATACTGTTTGAACAATGAATTAAACGAATGAAGGCTAGCATGAATGATTTGCGGCTAATAGATCTAAAGGAGAAAAAATCAGCAATTAGACAGCAGATGGGATGTTGTTTTCACGGTGGTTAGCTACATTGAACAAGCTTTCGTTGGCTGGGATGCAACAACCAGAAAAATATAAGGAGAAATTCGGCGTTTCAAGCGACGGCTCTTCGTCTGGAGTTATTCGAAATTTTCCTTATATTTTTTTAGAAAGCTTGTTCATCCCCGAATGATGATATAGAAAGCTTGTTCATCCCCGAGCCGACGGCGCGAAGCGCCGTGCGAGGGTACTAATTCCCCTCCTCCGGCTATTTACACCCGGGGAAACGAAAGCATTAGCGAAGTCGAAAGTTCATCAATTATCGCGGGCGCTTACCAACGATGTTGGGGTGTTGGGTGGGGGGTCACCCTCACTGATCTCAAAAATATGGCGGACTGTCATGAATAGCGGACACTGATTGGTCCAATTTAAAGTTTGCATTATAACGACTGCATGACGACAGCGAAATAGCAAACATTTCTTGATTTGATGATTGATATTTTTCTTGCAAATATATTTCATTTTTGCTCGCATATTTGCAAGATTTTGTAAATTTCAAAAGCTTTCTCGTAAAGAAAGGGCAAAAGAATCGGCTAAAAGAAGGGAGCGGACGTTAACGAAGGTAAGCTTGTTTTAAATATTGATTTTATAATTGCTTTAAAACCCGACGGCCTTTGGCCCTTTGCGTATATGAAACAACTAAACAAGACAGCATATAACTTCACTGTATTATTAATAGTGATTCCCTTTTGGTTTTTATTTAACAATTTGTAATTCGAGTCGAGACAAATCGCACTTGTCCTATAGCCTGTGTTTTGTACTACGGTACTTGTCGTGTGATTTAATTTAGCTTAGATTCTTACAATCGTGTGGAGTCCAGATTTGCAAAGCGATTTTTATGAAGCCAAAGGAAGGTGTTCAAGTGATTATATTCAAGAATTTTCTCGTTCACGTCCACCAGTCGTACTTGACCTTGTTTTTTATCAGTCGTGGAGTATTGTTGTGTCGGAATGACAGACAATGCTTCGAACGTTTTCACAAAGCAACTGTTGTTTGGTAAGGGACACGAGACCTGAAAAGTATAATAATTGCAAGATATAAACATGAATATACAGTATATCGTACGAATTACTGTGTGAACAAGCGAAACCAAAGGAATGTTGTGCATGTCTGGTCTTATGTAAACGCATTCACAATTTGCATATTTCAGAAAGACTTATAACTCTGTATTCTAAGGTCACTCACACTGACACTCAAAGAGTGCAGTAAGTTCTGTGACTATTTCATTTGCTTCGTTCTTTAGAAAATCCATTCTATATAGCTTATTCTTTTGTCATTGTCATAATCTTCCTAGAGCTTCGTGCCGACCCAAAGAGTGGAGGTTCAATCTGAGCTTCCCTTTAGTGTCAGTGCTGTTTATAAATAGCTGGATCTTCCTATATTTGACTGTATACTTTACGAGAGACTAACACTCCAGCTATTTAAAAACAGCACTGACACTCAAGGGAAGCTCAGATTGAAGCTTCACTCTTTGAGTTTGAGTGAACTTTTAGAATAGAGACGTAAGGCCCTGTTCAGATTAAATCAGGACGAAGTCAAACTGGAATGAAAATTGAAATGTCAGCATGTTTATATGAGACAGTTACGAAAATCACAAAATTTTCAATTTGTTCCCCTTGCCAGGCAATTTTATTTTTTTAGATGGCTCTTGTTAGCATGTGTTGTTCCTTCACCGTCACGTGTGTATTGTATTTTTGCCAAATCCACCAATAGCAATTTCCAATTTACCCTATTGTTCGAGTCCTAAAGCATTGCTATTGGTTATTTGGGCAACACGTGACGATAAAAAACCAGATTTATGAATAAACGTTGACTAACATTGATAATAAGTTATATCGTTATTCTAAAAGCCTGATTCCACGGGCGCTTTTTCTCGGCGAAATGCGAAATATTTCGCCTGTTTCTTTTGAATTGTGAGCAATCAAGTAGAAATAATTTATTTGAGTAGTCGCAATTCAAAAGAAACAGGCGAAATATTTCGCATTTCGCCGAGAAAAAGCGCTCGTGGAATCAGGCCTTAACGAGTTTCCAAACCATCTCTTCTATTAACTATGGTCTAATTTATTTTCGTTCTGGCCTCATGTAAACATCTGTTATAAATAATACTATGACCGAAACGAAATGGTCCCGGTTTGACTTCGTCCCGCTCTCATGTAAACGGAACCTTATCTTAATTAGCACGCACGAGAAAAGATGTCGAGAAACAAAAACATCACAAAACCTTATTTTCTTTCGTAATGTTTCATCTGAAGATGAAATAAGACGATTTTTAATGACCATTGAAATGTGCTTGTGCCATGTTGACTAATTATTGTATTACACCTATCGATACAAATTATCACAACCCCATTTGTCATTGCAACAGCATGCAAACTTACAAACTCAATTTTACCATAAGAAGACTTACATTTGACTCCACGATCCTTTCTTGGTATTGCTTTTCCGTTAGGTTACAAAAAATATTATCGTCTGCTATTTTAAGTACTGACAAATAGCCATGTTCATCCTGCAGCATTTCAATCAAAAAGAAAAATAAATAAAATATTGGCATTTAACAGTTCATGATAGGAGTACAATCGGGTATTGAAAAATGGTCATACAAGAAGATGGAAAAAACATCCAAACTATCCCTGAGTTAAGTGTGCTTCCGACGTTTGAGCAGCATGCCCTTCATAATTACATAATATGAATTTACCTGACCGCAATGAAGAATGTACTGTATCACTGCTGTATTTAATGGGATTTCACGAAGATATTTAACACAAAAATCGTAATAACCCATCAACCTTTGATTCCATTTCACGTCTGAATTAGGAAGACTAGTTCTGAAAAGTAAATTAGGCCATTAATCTTACGTGTTTGGTGTAGGTGCGATAAATTTGTTGGTTAAATTACATGCTAAAGAAAGCCCATGCACTTCTTTTAAGCCAGTTGTCACAAACGTTGCCACGTCGAACGTTGCTCGCATAACGCGACCGCACTGGTCAATTTAAAGTTACGGTCGACCGTAATTAGAAACGTCAAACTTAATTGTTCCAGACGTCAAATTTTGCATGTGCATAATTTAAGCTATTGAATTCGACAATTTGGATATGTGATATGAAGTGTTTCATTTCAATAATATGCATTGAATATACCGTCAGGCGCGTAAGTTTGGACCAAACTGCCCCTGGTCCTACCGGAATTGGGTGCCTCCAAGGCAGGGGGACCTTATAGATCCTTTTGAAGTACCATGAAGCTCTGACAATATTAACATTTGCTAGTAGTTTAGAAGCGAATTTTAATGGTTTCTTTAACTGGAAATATAAATATATAGCAAAATACAAAAAACACAACTCTAAAATAACACATATGCAGAAATTGTTTTTGACATAAACACTGAAATGTTTGCCACTGTATGCACATACAACCTTAGATGAACGAGGATCCCGGACAACTCAGTTCAGGGTGCCCCTCTGGAAGCCCGATAGCCTGGGTGCCCCCGGCTCTTACCGGGTAGAGCTCATAGGAGTTACGCCACTGTATACCGTATACAATAAACCACTTACTCATTAAGTATCTTTTTGCGCAAAGATATCAATTTTAAGAAGTTGATGCATTCAGCGTAAGCACAATTTGCCACAACACTACAATAACCCTGAATAATCTCAGAACCGTACACTTCATTCAAATTCTCTGAATGTTCGTCGCCCTTGTTGTGAATAAAAATTTCCGAGAATTGTGCAAGGACATCAGATGAACTTTGATCCATTATTTCATCACAACATCGTTCTTGTTCAATCTTCTTTACACTCTCCGTTATTCTTGCTAAAATGATAAAAATAGGTACGCTAAGCGTACATATATCTCCGCATGGTATTGACATTCTGTATGTGACCATTATTTCATAATTGTTGCTGTGGTTACTATTGTTGCATTTGTTATTAATGTAGTGGTTATTGCATAATATGCAGTATTAAACGATAGTGGACAGGTGTGTATTGACACATCACACGAGGCATTATTACTACTGAGGTCCGATCTGTAAAACAGAACTCGTAAAAGCATGATAAATTGAACACAAACACTATAAATTAAACGCTCTTTAAGTAATTAATATTTGAGCCATATAGAAAGAGGTACTCCGGCTAAACCTTCAAAAGAAGCACCCCCTCTGCAATGGTAAAGCTTGTTCCTAAGCAAAACATGAGGATATTATACCATTATTTCTATAGAAGTATATACTAATAAGAGCAATATTTAAGTATAGGTAACCATGCGATGGCGAGTACAATTAGCTATTAATAGTACGAGTGATGTTTGAAAATTTTGCTAAAATTGGACGAGCCGCCGGGGTGAGTCCAATTTGGCAAATTTCCAAACATCACGAGTACTATTAATCCCTAATCGTAGGAGCAACAAGCAAAATTGGACATGTACTTCTCAAAGTCAACATCATATTCTCTCGCCAAAGCCCAGTCCTGCCAGATTTTTAACCAAAATTTGGTACTTTTGTTTGTATTTTCATTTAGTTCTTCAAAATTTGGTGCTTTTGTTCGTATTTTCATCTAGTTCCTCCACGGCAATTTCATTTCACATTTGTGTTTAAAATACCTTTCTGCCATTTTGTTTGTTTTGGGAAAATCATTAATTGTACTGCAGTACAATTAATGATGGTAATAGAACGAATAGGAGTGCTATTAATGCCATAATCATACGAGTGGTTACAAAATCAACCGACCGCGTAGCGGGAGGTTGATTTGTTAATCACGAGTATGATTATGGCATTAATAGTACGACTTAATTCGTTCTATTACTTATTAATTATTTATCTTCTGTAATCAAACTGTTTAAGGAGGAAAAGCAGAAAAATACAATTTGTTGAAATTCAATATAATTATTAAATTTTTGTCACGACAATTCTTAGTGAAATAGTACAATTTTGAATTATTATTTATCATATACAATCAAATTAACATATTATTAACTTCCGGGCATTATTTCCGGTATAACCACATGACAACATTTGTTTGAATTATTCAACACACAATTGGGAAGCCATGTTTGTATGTTTATAACGTGTTCAAAATAGTGAAGTTCTTTAGTTCAATTAATCATCTGAATTGGATTGTGTCTAGTTCGGTGTCTTCTGCTGGATGAACAGGTAGGTCATTTTCGTCAGAAAATATATAATTTAACAACCCTCGAAAACGAGATCGGCATTCGGCAATGCCGACCTTCAGTATTAAAATGCCAACCTATCAACCTCCCATGTCGGCAATGTTTTGCTGACCTTAATTCAGCCAAAGTAAGAATCTTTTTGGTTCTTATAGCTGTTAAAAAGTCAGCGATTATAGAATTCGATGCACTTTGGTGTAAGGTTTAAGAATTAACGGGTATATTTATGATATAATTTAGGTAAAACTCTAAAAGAAAAGGCTTCGTGACATTTATACTTTTCAATGATTCGTAAATACGTGATTACTAGTGCAGGCTATTAGTGCTCCAAGACATGGAAACAGATTTTAAAAAATGCCGAGATAGGTCAGATTTAGGTCGGCATTTTTTTTCCGACCCCAATTTTGAGGGTTTTCGAGGGCTGATTTAAAAATTAAAAGGGCAAAATTTGTGAATTCCTCCATTTTGAATTTTTTTACAGCAATAGAGAAAATAAAATTCAAAGTTTGTATCCTGAGTGATGATTGGCTAGTGTAAATACTAGACTGATTTTCATTGGCTGTAGACAAGAGTGCGATTACAGCTCAGAAAAGGTGCGATTAATGCTCAAATCGCACTCCTGTAAACCAATGAAATTGCAGTATTTGCCACTGATTACAGAAGATAAATAATTAATGAAATAATTGTAC